TCGTTGGGCCGAAACCTCGTCCAGGCTAGTGGACGGTACTGGACTGGTGGACTGACGACGGCAGTCGAGTGCCCGATGCTCGACGCGGCCGGAACGACGACGACGGCCTGGAGATGGTGGTGGTAGTGGTTGTTGTTGTTGTTGTCTTCCTCTCTTGTTCAGGATAACGAGATGCACAAGCCCCGAACGTTTGCGACAGCTTTCTGCTGCCTGTACGGCCAATCCAGAGTTTGCAGGTCTCATCAGGTTCGTACAACCTTCGTTTGAGGACATTTATGGACTCAGATATTGCCCAGAGAGCTGAACGTCGTCGAGGTTGGATATCACGATGGCATCCCTGAGCTTCTCCCCTGGCTAACCTCTGTTACACGGCTGGAAGTCCCGGCGGATCAACTCGACGCGCGCCTCCTCGCCATAATCAACGAACACCGCACTCTCGTCACTGTTGCTGTACTCGACCCGCAGCTAAAAACACTCAGAAATATCCTTTCGTCTACCAACTTGCCGTTGTCCAAAATCCTCGTCTCACCGACAATAACTGTGCTGGATGATGTAACCCTGCAGGCATTCCGCGCAGCGATCCAGCGGGGCGCCAGATTCTACCACTTCATTTTTGAGGTACAAGGAAACCTTGAACTTTCTGCTGCCACCTTGCCAATCGTCCTGCCTGACCTTGAGCACTTCGATCTGAAAATGTGCTACCGCACTAATATCAGCCGAAGCTCTATCAATAGTTGGCTTCACAGACATGCGCACGATAAAACTGGCAAATGCGTATGGGCCCTGGAGGGTTGATGTACCATTCCTCTGCCGGTTCCAAAACGCATTGCACGATGCACGCACATCTCAATCTTCGATATTGACGATGCGTTCAATCACTGTGACTCCGTGTGCATCGTGGGGGTCCTTGGAAGACTGGGATGTAACCCAGCTTGAGCTGAAGGTTGATGACACGGACCTCATCTCCAGGACCGGGTCATCAATTTTGGAGATAGTTGCTATGCTAGCCCCCCGATTGTCATCCCTGGACCTCATTCTGCGGCGTTCGCAATTCGAGCCGCAGCTCTTCCACATCGTATGTTTGAACACGACCTTCGCCCAGTATTCCTTTAATCATTTTTCTCCCAGGACGATTTTGAGAAAATCTTCTGTTCCTTGTTGGCTTTGCACAGCTTGCACCTGACCAACGGGTACCCTCATCTGCATGCCGGCGGGCTAACTCCATGGATCGCGCCAAGGCGTAGCGCTGCGCGACGCAACGTGCTGGGGACGTCGATCTGCGTGGATGCGCTCGATGCAATGACCTGGTATATGGCGCGTGTTGTGCAAAACGCGCCGTTGCTAGAACTCGTTCATGTTTCCGATGAGGGTTCCGATAAGGGTAGAGAAAACTTACACTGGGATCTTCAGGTCGCGTACCGAGTGCGACAGAACGAAGCCCGTGACCTGGAGATACTCGGGATACCAAAACTCGAGATGGATCCCAGATTTTTACCCAACAAGTAGGCCTACAAAATTCGTGTACCTCGAAGTCTCCCGAGTCGGACCCAGATACATCAGGTAGTCAATATGTACAGTAGTACACCGGTTTGCCCAAAATGCATGAGGGAAAACCGTACAGAAAAATCAATTGAGTTTCAGACGCATTTTGGCAAACGTAGGTACCTGAGTTCAAAAGATTTCGGTTCTTCTTTGACATACCAGAAACGAACACCGCTGCATTATAATTTATTGTTGTACCGTCTGTTTATAAGAGACCAATTTCGACACCTTTGCGAAGCTGCAGGTGAACCTGGCAGATTCTAGCATGTCATGGAGTGTATTTCTTAGCGTTGCGATCAAGCAGTACGATTCGGATTTGATCCAATTTGCCAGGCGTTGACACGTGATCGCGTTCGGTTGACCGGACCCACTGCCACTGGCACGAAGACAACCAGTATCACCGCGAGGGACCGAACGACGACTTGGCTCCAAACATGTCAGCACCTGCGTACGTTTCTTGTCGCCACCAAATTAGCTATGCCTGATTCCACTGGAAGTGCAAATCCTCGCATTCTTGGCCCGTATCCTGTAAAGCTTCCCTGGGACCCAGAGTCTCTTCCACCCGTGTGGAATTCCCGGAACGGGCTACCCCTCTATGGCTTGGGGTGGGAAACGTCTGAGAAAGAGATATGCGCAAAGTTTGACACCAAGCTATGTATGGCCTCTATCCCGCCGAGCATCATTATGCCCCGATGGGCGGCCTTCGAGGACCGGTTCAGCAGGCGTGTTCCGTTCTGAGTTTTCTGCGTGTTCCCGAAGTCACAAAATCCTTCCCTTTGTAGCCAAGTCAGGTTCAAGCCACATTTCACTGCGACTAGTGCCAATGGCCCGCTCAACGATGGCGATCACATGCTCTGTTTCATAGCATTCAACGACGCCATCGACATGCGTACGCTCAAGGGACCGGACGCTCAGGAATTCATCAAAGCAGCGAAAGAAGTGATGAAAATTACCGAGGACGAGGAAAAGACTTTCATGTGGTACAAATGTTCGACCAGACCTTCCTTCAGAAACCTGACACCGTAGTTAAAATGCAATGTCTGCTTGTCAGTACTCGTTGTGTCCTCGATTCGGCCCCAAAGATCCGCAACAACATCGGTAGCAGTAATCATTCCGGATGAATTCCACAAAGTGGTTGAAGTAAGCGATCAATGATCTAAATCGATTCAACTTGAACGGTGCTGAATCCATGGGTGGGGCGGGTTTCAAGTCAATAAAAGACGCGTGCTATACTTGTATGTTGCATTCGAATGTAGTGGAGATTATACAGGTAGATCCAGGTTGACTCCCTCAGCGGAAATTTCTGCTAGATAGATCTTGGTGTCCGCCATGATGACTAGTCTGTTCGCGCCGGCGAATATCATATTGGCAGAACCAACGCCCAAGAAAACTTTGCCGAGCAGGGTGCCGTTCGGGTTAAAAACCTAGTCCAAACTGCTTTCAACCCAATAACTCCTTCATCGTGTAGTAGACGCACCTCGGTTCCATCTCCACATCCGACATATAAATTTCCTTTCGTATCGAGTGTCAGGCCATCTGGGACCTATGTCTCTTCAACTGCGGCTAACGCTGCAAAGATGAAATGAAAAGCACCCCCGAGTCGATGAACGCAAACACCCGACGGTTGAAAAAAGTCTGTGTTTCTGGCATGAGGTCGAAGGCGTAGCTGGGAAAAGAGTCATGACAATTTCGTTGCTGGCCAATACGCTGCACTCACATTGTCGCAGGAAGCGTGGGGTCTAGTCCGCCAAGTGCTCCCTCCGTCTCACCCGAGTCCGCGCTATAGACAGATTGAGAGGCAGCGCGTTTGAAAAGTGGAAGAGGCGCACATATAAGCCGTGCGGCCATCGGGCGAGAATGCGATTCCATTGGGTTGTTTGAATCCATCCGCGACGACGCGTACCTCGCCAGTGTCGGCATCGAAGCGATAGATCTGGTTCGGAATTAAAGGCGGGGACCGGAACCCGTTCTCGAACCCATAGCTAAGATAAACAAAGAGTTGAACATCAAGTCGCCGCCAAAATAATGAACATACGTCTCGTCCGTGAAGAATATGGCACCGCTCTGTGGATGCACCTTGGCGTCGTTCAGAGAGTTGAATTGGCGACCGTAGAAGTTATTCAATATGATGGTGTCGTTAAACGGAGGCTGTGGGTTTACTCTGACGAGGCTGGGAGGCAGGGGCCCCGATCCAGTGGTAACAAGCAAGAGGTCCCCACGGAAGAGTGTCCCACCATTATTGATCTGAACATCGTCACTGAGCGGCACCTGCAATAGAATAAAGAATGGGTAAATGCGAGAACGGGGAGAGAATGAGGTTATGCACGATAGTAAAATTGATCAACCCCGTTGTGCTGGTGTTGAGATCGTTCAAGTTGATAAACGAGACCTGGCCGGCAGTTCAAGGTCGTGGTATTGGATGGGTAGACATCAATTACCGGGCGTCCCTCCGTCTTCCCTCCGGTGATAAATATCTGGTTCGTGGCCTGAATCCACACGGGGGCGTCGTGAGCGAATGAGAATGTGTCGTTTTCAACGATAACGCGAATAGTGGGATTCGGACCCAGGATATCGTCAAATCGGTCATCATAGACTTGAAAGTATGGAGGCGTCAAAGTGACGTTTGGGGTGGGCTCGAAGAGCTGAGTTCCATTGCGGAAGTGGCCATTAGGGTCCAGGACTGCGAACGCCCGTTTGTCCTCTCGCTATATTCGTGTCAGAGTACGCCACGCATGGGTCCAGGAGCTGCAGACCACAACGGGGGAGGCTTGACCAGTGACCAACACCAAGTTGATTCCGAGAGATATAAAAGCTGAAAGCTTCATGGCGGTGTGAGAGTAATAAAGTCCTCGACAGAGCTTTATATGCGGGAACCTGTTCCTGCGAAGACTACCACACAGTGAAGCCGAATTGTTGAGGCATTTCAAGCGGAAATGTCATCCAATTGCAACTTGCGGGGTACACTTTTCGCACTTGGCTTTCCCATAGATGCCAGGGTTGCGGAGCCGGTTGCGCACCGCGTAACTGAAGCCCGGAGCGGGACGCCATTCAAGTATTGGTCTCAGAGCTCCGGACGCCACCGGTAACCGAGGCTAAGTACTCCGCCGTACTGCACTCCCGCCTGACTCGAATCACGGAAAGAGCCGATACGAAAAAGCCTTGACGAGAGAGTGGACGCCATAGGTTCTGGACAGACTCTGGACAGACTGGCACAAGGATGGGAGTTAAAAGCCGGGACCTACCACAGCTCGCGCATTGACAAAACGATCAGCGGCGATATTGAATGGCGGAGCCGATTGTGAGAGTCGGAACAGAACAGGCTCGATGGTAACACGGGGATTAAGATGTCCTGGCGCGGCTCACGGCAGTCAGGGTCTGAGATCTGAGAGACGGCGCTGAGGGAGATAAACAAAAATCAAGTCGTGGACCACAACAAGAGAGGTAAAAGAGCAAAACGATGGCATCACCGTGGCTTGAACACGGGACCTTCAGATATTGACCCGAGTTCGGTTTGACTTCAGTCTGCTGCTCTCCCAACTGAGCTATGACGCCGATGGCATAGCTCCAAAATCTGTGAATACGACCCTGCTACGTGGCCGCGAGAGCCTTCGAATTTCAAGAGACTTCAATGGCAGTGTTGGTGGACGGAGGTGAAAGCGTCTAAAGCGTATTGGTGGAGCTCGCAAGTTTTTGAGAAGAGGCAATTTGAAAGGATTGGCAAAGATCAAGCAAAGATCAGCATTCAGAAGATGGCGCTGGCCCATGGTCCTCGTCCGCGAGATCCAGTGAAGAGGGCCCGGTCTGGGAGAGCTTTCCAGGACGGTGGTATGCGTTGTGGGCCCGGCAATAGCTCTTGCGGTGCTGGTCGGTGGCAAGCCGATCGATATACCATTTCCGGCACTTGGGCGGCAGTAGTGTTTTCCGTTGTTTGTTCGCGATCCCATTCCGTACGTCCGAGTCGTAACGTCGATCGCCAACGAGGAACACCAAAATGCCGTCGGCGGGCGAAGTCCTGAACCTGGAAGGCGTATCCGCAGCCCAGCATCGCTTTCGCATCTCCGTCAACGACGAGAACGGCTCGTCCAATCCCCCACGTCCGCCCCCCGAAGGAGGCACTCCCTTTTTCGTAGGTGGCCGCTGCTACAGATGTTTTCTCTGACCTGCATAGCATGGGCAGCACCCGCATCGAAATTCCCGGTACAAGGAAAAGTAGGTCTCGAAACCATTGTGCGTGGGCGTGGGTTGCCAGCGGCTCATTTCAGCACAGATTCCAGGCGCTACGAGAAAAATACGACCGCGTCACTGCAGTGCGTCTTTGAATGTCGAGCATTTAATCCCTCCGTCTAACCTGACCTGCGCGTTGCGTTTCCAGAAACAGCAAGAGTACCACCAGGATTTGGAGATTGCCACGGAGAAGATCAAGAAGTTGCAGGCAGAGAACGAGTACGTGCCTTGCTTGTACTCCTGCGCGCCGCGGCCGACGACATGCAGTCTGCTTTTAGACGCGATGAACCTCGCCGCCTCCCACCAGCCATCAATGTTCGGGCTCCTGCCCCCGGCGCACCCGCCTGACGCGCCCCGGGGTGGCGGCCCCATGAATATCGACGCCGGGCCCGCCCCGCCGCGCCACCACGTCAACGGGAACGGCGTCAGCAATGGCACGCGCAGCGGCAGCAGCAGCAGCGGACCCGGCCACCTATCGAACGGCAACGGCCACCCACCCCTGCCCGAGGTACGTTTTCTGGCGTGCACGAGAGATGAGCACCATTGCTGATGCATCTCCAACCTCTAGCAAGCGCGTCTGTCGCGCCAGCCCTCGATCGAGTTTATCGCGCACGACATGAACGGGCGCGCGCCATGACCCTTTTCGCCCCCGCTGTGAACCCTGCATATCTGTCTGACCTTACTTAATAGCAACTGTATCCCGCACCTCCCGCATGTACTCTCCATATCCCGCGCTCCCCGGCTTCTTCTCACTGTCAGTTCTGTCTGTCCTATCTGTCTCTCTGTCTCTCTCGTCACTCTCAATTCTGTCTCTCTCGTGGTTCTACATACACCGTGTCTACATTTCGCTACATACATACTCTCATCGCTACTCTAGCCCCCCGCAATCTAGGATCTCCTCTTGTCTATCCCCTCGCATTCTCGTTGTCTGTCCAATTTAGCTCATAACCTTTTTTTCCCGCTGTGCCTTGTCTTCATCCCGTCATCCCCTCTGCCCTGATTCCACGCCCAGTCCGTTCTCTGCGCCGGCCAATAAACAATCGCGACATCCACCCGTCCGGGATTCAATCTCTGTGCATGCATTCATTCATCCCGTCATCCCGGTGTCTCCATTCCGATGCACTGTTGTTTGATTTTTTTTTCCGCCGGTGGTAGTACACGTATATCTATAGGGTTTCTTCATTCGTTCCCGCCGCTAGCCAGCCTGCCCAGACAACAGATATGTAAGAAAGATAGGATGGGATAGGGTGGGGTGGGTGAGATTTCGCAGAGTGAGATGATGTAGTTGGATGAATGGGAATGAATGCGCCGCAGGGCAGTGCGGCAGATGGGGGGGGGGGATAGATGTGGTTGGTGTTTGGATGGTATGATGAGTCGAAACGGAAAGGAACGATGGGCGGTGGTGTACAGGATGAGTCGATCAGGCGTGTAAGAGTAGTCGTAGTCAAGTCAGTCAAGTAAATGGAGGAATAAAAACGATAGCAAGCAGACAGCAGCAATCGGAAGGAAGAAAATAAACAAATGGAATGAAATGAAGGAGTGATAGAATCAAGGAGTGAATCGGCGCGCAGGCGGTTTGGTGAGTGCTTTTTCGTTCGATAATCAAGGTAAGTGAAGGGGAGGAAAGAAAGAGACCATCTAGTGATACGAGAAGAAGAGTTCGCAGCAAATGAGAGCACAAGCACAAGCACAAGCACAAACGCGAGGTCCAAGAGATACAAGCCCGCGCAGAGACGCAAAGGAAAGGAGGAGCTGGGCTGCACACCCATTTTTGGTCGCGCGCGGCGTCAGCGGCTCGGCGCGTTGCTCGGCACCCCGCCACCGCCGCCGTTCGGGCCCCCAACGCCAATGCCGCGCGCCATGTTCCCGATGCTCGGGATCCCGCGCGGGCCCTGCCCGATGTGCCCGAGCCCGCTCCCACTACGCGGCCGCCCATGCGGCGCAGGGCCAGACCCCGCGCCCCACGGACCCAGCCCGCCGCCGCCGACGCCCCCAGGCTGCATCGCATACCCGAGCGGCGCGCTGTCGCTGCGAGAACGCCCCGCGCGCGGCTTGGGCGGCGACAGCGAGTCGACGGACGACGCGTGGTGCGGGTGCGGGCTGCCGTTCGCGCCGCCCGCCGAGTGCCCCGGGTGCGCAGAATGCGGCGAGTCGTCGCCGGACATCATGCGCTGGCGCTTCGAGCTGCCGCGCCCCGACTCGGGCTCGTCGAACATCTCCATCGTGATGGACCCGGGCGACGCGGGCAGCGGCGACTGCGAGGTCTCGCCGCGCGAGAAGGAGATGTGCTGGAAGCTTTGCTGGCGCGAGAGCGAGTGTGAGTGCCCGTGCCCGTGCGGGTGTGCGTGCGAGTGGGAGTGCACGCCGGGGTGCGGCTGCTGTCCGTGGTGAAAGTCGGACGCAGGCGGGCTCGGGTCGTAGCGCGGCGACGTGACGAAGATGTTGGGCTCCAGCAGGTCGACGGGAAACGGCGGGACTAGAGCGGCCGCGAATTAGAAAATACAAGGAACAAGGTTAAAAAACAACAAACCGCTCCCCGGGCCGAAGCCTTTGCCGACGACATCCCAGAGGCGGCCCACGACGGACACGAGCTTCTCGACGCGGCGGCGCTCAGCATTGAGCTGGTCCCACATGCGCTGGTTCTCCTCCCGCATGGCGCCGAGCTGAGCGGCAACCTGGGAACAACGATGAGGATAGGGGTCAGATTCGGCGCCAAGCAACACACCTCCCCGGGGAGCTCGACGCGGTGCTTGAGCGCCGGGTCGGGCTCGAGGGCCTTGCGCTTGATCTCGTCGAGTAGATCTGGGCGGCCGCGGAGGAACTTGTGATGCGAAAACTCCCATGTCTGCGCGTCAGACGTCGTGCGCTGCGCGCGCGGCGTGCGGTTGATCTTGTGGAAGCCGTACATGTTGAGCTGGCGCACAAAGCTGGAGAACTGGGAAGCACGCGTGAGCAGGGGGAGTGGACGCGGACGCGCGGGCGTGTCATGTCAAAACGCAGACACGGCGCGTGGATCCCAGGGGGAAGCGGGGGTACGTACATTGTTGTGCTTGAAGTGGCTGCCAAGGATGCTGCGGCTGAACTCGCCGACATTGCTGACGACGAACGAGGTGCCGAGCTCGGTCCAGGAGATAAAGTGCGAGGACTTTGCGTCGGTGATCATCTGGTAGAGCTTGGTGACAAAGTTGTTGGTGGCCATGGGCTTGCCCATGACGCCGATGGAGGGGACGAGGGTAGGGACGGCGATCCTTGCGTCGTCACCGCTGCCGGAGCTGCCGTCGACGGGAGAGCTGCTTGCATCGTACGGCACGAGGCCCACGTCCATGTCGTCGTAGCCCGCACTGGTAGGGTTTGCGCTTAGCGGTGAGCCTGGACGGGGGGACAGCGTGTCGCTGTCGGTGGTAATGCGCAGCGAGGGGGTGGTGATGCTCGGGGTGTGCGAGCGCGACACTGGGTTCAGCGTCGGTGGGGGATCGGATGAAAAGCTGCGTTTCCGGGGCAGCGTCGAGGTTGTCGAGTGCGGCGAAGAGGGTACATTCACACTGACAGAGTCGTAGGACGACGATTCGTGGCCGTACGAGTCCTGGGAGTCGTTCCCGCCGCCGCCGCTGCCCTGGCCGAACTGAAAGGGATGGAGATGGCTACCGTAGCCCGCTGGACTGATAGGCGTTACAGGGCTCAGCGCGCCCGAGGGGGGGCCGATGGGGGAGAGATTCGTGGGGGAAGCGACTGTGAGGGACGAGAGATTGAGGGACAGGGACGAGGACGAGCGATGAATGGGCGTCGTCGTCTGCTGGAAGCCAAACTGCGGGTAGTTCTGCTGCTGCTGCTGTTGCTGTTGTTGCTGCTGCTGCCAGCCTCGACTGTTGTAGTGGTTCTGGCCCTCGTAGTCCATCGAGTGCCAGCGTAGAGGCGAAAAGTCCGACAAGGACTAATCTAATCGTACATCGCTTCTTTTACTTCCGTCAAGTTCTCACGCCCGCAGTATACCGCCTTGAGCGCGGGAGACATTCACAAAACAACATCCAAAACATCATCTGCGACAATTCAAAGCCATACATTGCAATATCTACACCACCCTCTCAACGGCCCCGGTCTTCTCGGCCGCAGCTCATCTCCCCAACGATTAACGCCAAGCGCTGTCCTGTTAGGTGGGCGTACAGCGCTAAAGCCTCGCTGCATCGACGTCGACGTCGTCGGACCCGCCGCGGCCCGGCCTCAGGTCCGCTTCGTACGCGAGCTTCGTCAAATGTCACTTGATCCCCGCGCGCGCACGGTTGCAGATCGCCCTGTGCGAAGCTCGCATACATCTGCGCGCCGTGTGCGCT